ACCCACCCATCAACCCTCTTCCTATTAGTCGTGAATTTTCCAAATAGCATTTGCTTGTCTCTCCTTGTATCTCAAATGTCTCACCTTGTGGAAAGCAGCCCCGAATTTCCTTATGCAGATCGATGGAACAAGGATAGAAACATTGTCCGACGTCATAAGTTTCCCCTCGAATCATTGCTTTCGCTCAATTTCTTCCTCTCTACCTGCGAAGAAGTGCATTGCTTTCGCTCAATTTCATCCTCTCTACCTGCGAAGAAGTGCACACGAGCACATGTAGAGAACCGAGCAGAAGTAGAGAGCGGAGCATATACATAGAAGCAGACGGTGAGCGGAAGCACGAGTGCAACGGAGTGCAAGAACTGATGCCCTGCTTGCCGTTTGATGCGTGTCGAGGAGGCAAAATCAACGGCTACAACCTACGTGGCACGAAGATGTGGTTCGCATCGACTGTACAATCTATAACGACTATAGCAGCGTATCGTCATTATCGATGGCCAATCAAGTATATAGTACGGTAGGACGGCAACACTCCGGCGATGGCACGCGGATGAGTGCGGCTTCTCCTAGCTTACCATGCCAACCCCACCCTAATTCACACAGTAGAGCAATTCCTCACGCACACGGAGATGAGCTACTTCTCCGGCAATGACACGTGGATGACACGTGGATAGTACGGTAGGACGGCAACACTCCGGCGATGACACGTGGATGACTGCGGCTTTTTCTAGGTTACCATGCCAACGCCACCGTACTTCTCACAGTAAGGCAATGCCTCACGGACACGGTGATCAGGCGGCTTCTGCCCTGTGTGCTCTCTTCTTGAAGTGGGCAGACACAATCCCTGTTAGTAGCTCTGCTCTCATACCATCCCCTCCCAAAGGAGAGATCAACGGCTACGACCTACGTGGCGCGAAGATGTTCAAAATCGTCATCGTTCATCTGAAAGAGCCCCCCCGCACACCTCCATAATCTCCTTCGACATAGCTGCGGACTCCTTGGCACCGGTGGTAATACTGGTTCTTCAACACAGCCCGATCCGACGATTTTAAAATTCGGTTATATCTTAGCTGGGAACAGGGAGGTGAGGGGCGCATCACGTCGACCACCTCCCGATCCGAGAGAGCAGCTATGTCGGCAGAGATTGCGGAGGTGTACGGGGGCGCTCTTTCAGATGAACGATGACGATTTTGAACTCTTCGCGCCACGTAGCTTGTAGCCGTTGATCTCTCCTTTGGGAGGGCATGGTATGAGAGCAAGGGTACTAACAGGGATTGTGTCTACCCACTTCAAGAAGAGAGCACACAGGGCAGAAGCAGCCTGATCACCGTGTCCGTGAGGCATTGCTCTGCTGTGAGAATTAGGGTGGTGTTGGTATGGTAAGCTAGGAAGAGCCAGGAAGAGCCGCACTCATCCACGTGCCATCGCGGGAGTGTCGCCGTCCTATCGGACCATGCTTCTTGATCAGGCATCGATCATGACGATGATACACTTCTAACAGGGATTGATAATGCTTGATCGGGCATTGATCTCTCCTTTGGGAGGGGACGGTCGTACACACACACACACACACACACACACACACACACACACACACACACATACACACACACACCACTCAGTCTGGCTCAGTCTGGATCGTCCATCAGGAAGTGTGTTGACGAGCACTTGCAAGCACTGCACCCGCCGGAGAGCAATCCAGCTGATTCTACCACAAACAGTGAAGGGATTTTTCCAGAGGATGGTGGCTGTGCCTTGCCTTTGTGTCGTCGTACAGCCTCTGCTCCGAACACTATGAAGGGACGGTCGCTGCTAGCCTCTCGCACGAAAACTGTTATCCCCTGTCTTGTGCTCATCCCCCCCGCTCCCTGATTACACTGCCCAGGATGCCGTTGTGGCCTTGACCTGCCATGCTTAAATAAGTGTGCACGTCAACCTTCCATACTGATATATCAGCCTTGGGCAGTGGGCCCTTTTTGTTAAAGCACTAGTACCTTTCCCGCGTGGGAAAATAGGGAAAACTGGCAGTTTTCCCAAACTCCTGAATCTTCGGAGGTCGGGTCCGACGACGTCTGCCTTTGATAAATCCGATCGGCGGCCGTCATGTCAGTAACAGGTGATATGTCATCAGTGTTTCCAGGAAGCTGTCATAGAAAGTATGTGTCTTTACTGCGTGGACTATCCCTGGTGCCATCATCCTCCACATCCTCTCCTAGCATGTCCCACATCCGGTGTTTGTCGTACACATACGGGTAATCGCAGACGGATCTCCCTCTTCCTTGCCAGACGACCGACAGACACAGCAGCCCGAGGAGGAAAATAGACTTTTACATGAACCGTCTGCAGAGCAATGTGCTAACAGTTTATCACCACCAGGGGACGATCTATTGTGGACCAAAGTCTGCAGCAGCTGAACTCCCTTGCTTTGGACCGACCCTCCCTGTCGTCGTCTGCCCATAGCGAAGGAATAAATGCTGAGGAAACCCAAGAAAGATGCTCCATGTGGCTTTGTGATGAGCCACCGCAGATTCAACTAGCATGTGGTTCGCATGCCTTGTGCCATGAGGATTGTGAAGGGATAGGATAGTCCATGCGAGTCTTTGCTTTCGTACATACGGCGACATTCAGTACCGTACCCATGTACGGCAACCCTGACATGTCATGTCCGATTTATAGACAGGGGCTGGAACGGCAATGCCTCTAGAACTGGAACGGCAATGCCTCTATAACTGCTGTCGACGTGCCTCCGTGTTCCTAGCATGTAGGAGCCACGTAGCCTGTGACATCTGTCTGTGCCGTGCCAGTCGATGCAGCAACTGCGACTGCGAAAATTGGATGCGGTATTAAAAAAAAAAAGAAAAAAAAAGAAAGAAAGAAAATTGGATGCGGTGCTTCCATAGTCCAACACCGAACCGGTCCTATCTGGTCTGTAGGGGTGGGCACTTACTACCGTCTTCACCCGAATCTCGTCATTGTAGCTGCATTTGGCCCAACTGTCAGTCCAGATGCAGCGTCATTGTAGGG